GCGGCGAGGGCCAGTCTGGCAGGAAGTTCCCCAGCTCCCTGTGGACCCACATCGGGACACCATCCTTAATGCCATTGAACAGCATCCAGTGGTGGTCATCTCTGGGGACACAGGCTGTGGGAAGACCACTCGCATCCCACAGCTGCTGCTGGAGCGCTATGTGACTGAGGGCAGAGGAGCCCGCTGCAATGTGATCATTACCCAACCTCGCCGCATCTCCGCTGTGTCTGTGGCACAGCGGGTCAGCCATGAACTGGGCCCCTCCCTGCGCCGGAATGTGGGCTTCCAGGTGCGGTTGGAAAGCAAGCCCCCAGCTCGAGGTGGGGCCCTGCTTTTCTGCACTGTGGGCATACTCCTGCGGAAGCTGCAGAGCAACCCCAGCCTGGAGGGTGTGAGCCACGTCATTGTGGACGAGGTTCATGAGCGGGACGTGAACACAGACTTCCTGCTGATTCTGCTCAAGGGCCTGCAGCGGCTCAATCCGGCCCTGCGGCTGGTGCTCATGAGCGCCACAGGCGATAATGAGCGCTTTTCTCGCTACTTTGGTGGCTGCCCTGTCATCAAGGTTCCTGGCTTCATGTACCCTGTCAAGGAGCACTACCTGGAGGACATCCTGGCCAAGTTGGGCAAGCACCAATACCCACACCGGCACCGGCACCACGAGGTGAGGTTTTGTGCTGCTTCTGCCCAGAGCTCCTGGCCTTTCCCTCATCAGTTCCCCTTTCCCTGGCCCAGTGGTTTGGTGAATCTCCCAAGCCCGTTTCCTTGATAGAAACAAGAATGGTAAGGCCCAGGTGGCAAGGATATGGTCAGAGTTGGAGGTGACATGCATTCAGCCTCACTGACTCATGGTAGCCATGTCCTGTGCACTACCCCTTGCTCTGGGGCTATCACTGGTCTCTTTTCCCTCACCCCAGTCTGAGGATGAATGTGCCCTCGATTTGGACCTCGTGACTGATCTGGTTCTGCACATAGATGCCCGTGGGGAGCCAGGTGGGTGTTTTTCCCTCTTCCCTGTCCCTCCTTGACCTGCAGGGAACAGCCAGTTCATGCCTGCAGACTTCTTTCACAGGTGGGATCCTCTGCTTCCTGCCTGGATGGCAGGAGATCAAAGGAGTGCAGCAACGCCTCCAGGAGGCCCTGGGCATGCATGAGAGCAAGTACCTCATCCTACCAGGTGAGAGCCTGGGTGCAAGGGTCATGGGCCTCAGACACCACTTTTGGCCTTGTTCTTGGGGATGGACTGACCTGGGCCTGGGTTTCTGATCATACTGCACTAATTTTTGCTGACTTTATGACATGCCCTGAGCATCCTGTTTACTTGGCCCTCAGTTTCATCAAAATGGGGTTAAAATCTTTGCTTCTGCCCTGATTACAGGGAGGTTTTGTGGGGAGCAATGCCTAAAACCAGTGTTCTTGCCGCCCATCAGTGCATTCTAACATCCCCATGATGGACCAGAAGGCCATATTCCAGCAGCCTCCAGTTGGGGTGCGCAAGATTGTCTTGGCCACCAATATTGCTGAGACCTCCATCACAGTCAATGACATCGTGCATGTGGTGGACAGTGGTCTGCACAAGGAGGAACGCTATGACCTGAAGACCAAGGTGGTACCCATCTTGTGGACCCAGCCAACCCCTGGGGGAAGAAGTCCCAAGCTCCAAGGTGGCCCCAGCCCAGATCTGCCTTGGACCTGTTGTGTGTCTCTAAAGGCCACACTTGCTAGGTCTCAAGTTGTGAGGGATGGGGGTGGGGAAGAGTGCTGTTAAAGGGTTATGGTGGAGACCAGGTGTGAGGAAGCACTGAGGATGTACTGTGACATCTGTATTGCTCACCTGCTCCCTCCCCCAGGTGTCCTGCCTGGAGACTGTGTGGGTGTCACGAGCCAACGTGATCCAGCGCCGGGGTCGGGCAGGTCGCTGTCAGTCAGGCTTTGCCTACCACCTATTCCCACGTAGCCGATTGGAGAAAATGGTCCCTTTCCAAGTGCCGGAGATCCTGCGCACACCCCTTGAGAACCTGGTGCTGCAAGCCAAAATCCATATGCCTGAAAAGACGGTATGGCAGCAACCTGCAGGGCCAGGACAGCCTTGGGAATGGGGAGGCAGGATAGACTCATGCTGGGCTCTGGCTTGTTCTGCTGTAGGCAGTGGAGTTCCTTTCCAAGGCTGTGGACAGTCCAAACATTAAGGCAGTGGATGAGGCTGTGATCCTGCTTCAGGAGATTGGTGAGTGGGGCAGGACCTGGCTGGGCTGCAGAGGGGCTCCTGGAGGTGGGACTGACAGCTGAGCTGTTGCAGGGGTGCTGGACCAGCGGGAGTACCTGACCACTCTGGGGCAGCGACTGGCTCATATCTCCACTGACCCCCGACTGGCCAAGGCCATAGTGCTGGCTGCCATCTTCCGTTGCCTGCACCCGCTGCTGGTGGTGGTTTCCTGCCTCACCCGTGATCCCTTCAGCAGCAGCCTGCAGAATCGGGCAGAGGTGGACAAGGTCAGACCCAGACCCTTCGCATGACCCTCTGGCTCTCCCTCATACCTTCTGTCACAGGTGGCTGCCTGTTACCTACTACCTTGTGACCTTGGTACTTTCTCCTTCCTCGCCCAGGTGAAGGCATTGTTGAGCCATGACAGTGGCAGTGATCACCTGGCCTTCGTGCGGGCTGTAGCCGGCTGGGAGGAAGTACTGCGATGGCAGGACCGCAGCTCCCGTGAGAACTACCTAGAGGAGAACCTACTCTATGCACCCAGCCTGCGCTTCATCCATGGTTAGCAGGCTCCTGTACCTGGCCTCTGTAGACTCCCTTCCCCTCTTCACTGGGCTTATGTGTAAATTCTGTCTTAATTTTGCGGCAAGGGGCCCGCTGAGACACCCCAAATTTGCCTCCCCAGGACTTATCAAGCAGTTCTCAGAGAACATTTATGAGGCTTTTTTGGTGGGGAAGCCCTCAGACTGCACCCTGCCTTCTGCCCAGTGCAACGAGTACAGTGAGGAGGAGGAGCTGGTAAAAGGCGTGCTGATGGCCGGTCTCTACCCCAACCTCATCCAGGTGATGCCTCTGGGAGGGTGATTTGACCAGGCCTCAGCCTACTTCCCCATCCCCAAACTCTTGCTCAGCCCACCCATCTTTCCTTTATCCCCCCTACAGGTGAGGCAGGGCAAGGTGACCCGACAGGGCAAGTTTAAGCCAAACAGTGTCACTTACAGGACCAAATCAGGCAACATCTTGCTGCACAAGTCAACCATTAACAGGTGAGGTGCAGGCAGGGTTGGTGAGGCAGTTGGTGTGGGCCAGATGGATGGCCTCACCAAGTCCCATGTTCCTTCAGGGAGGCTACACGGCTTCGGAGCCGGTGGCTGACATATTTTATGGCTGTCAAGTCCAATGGCAGCGTCTTCGTCCGGGACTCCTCCCAGGTGCACCCACTAGCTGTGCTGCTGCTGACTGATGGGGACGTCCACATCCGTGGTCAGTACCTGCAGACCTTCCACCCCAGTTTTATGGGCTGTCCTGTCTCCTCAGGGACTTGGACTCACCTTGACTCCTGCTTTTCTTACCCCAGATGATGGGCGCCGGGCCACCATCTCACTGAGTGACAGTGACCTGCTGAGGCTGGAGGGTGACTCACGCACTGTGCGGCTGCTGAGGGAGCTACGCCGTGCCCTGGGCCGCATGGTGGAGCGGAGCCTGCGCAGTGAGCTGGCAGCACTGCCACCAGGGGTGCAGCAGGAGCACGGGCAGCTACTTGCCCTGCTGGCAGAGCTGCTGCGTGGGCCTTGTGGCAGCTTTGACGTGCGCAAGACAGCTGATGACTGAGCCTGGCATCTGCTGGGGCTGTGTACAGAGTGCAAATGTTTATTTAAAATAAAGTTCTATTTATCCCTTGTGAGCATCGCTATACACTTGGGGCTCCTCTCTCAGGGCCCTAGCATCCTGAGCTGTCAAACCAAGAAGAAGAGTGGTGGTGAAGGGGAGGGGTTCGTGATTTTTTTTTTCTGGGGAGTGGGGCTGTGTCCCAGAGTCAGACACAGAAGATTAGAGCCACTCCTTCAAGGGCTTGGACCAGCAGTGCTGTTAGCAGATTTTTTTTTTTTAAGATTTATTAAAAAAAAAAAAATGATTTGGCCCTCCCTGGTGGCGCAGCGGGTTAAAGCACTGCACTGAGAAGCTAAAGCCACTTCTGCATGAGTTCGATTTCCGCCTGCCCCGGAGGAGACCACATGGCATGGCAGACCTCTCCTGACCAGCCCGCTGCTGCCCTCAGCAGTGTACTTCGTCGATCTGCCTGTTCTGTTACTCACTCTGTCTCTGGTGAAGCCTCTCACCGCCCCTGAGCCTCTGGCCTGTACCCCAGTTCTGTATGCACAAATAAATAAATCTTTAAAAAAAAAAATGATTTATGCATACAGAGCTGGGGCACAAGCCAGATGTGGGGATGTGTGAGGATTCACCAGAGATGGAGTGGGGAGCACAACAGGCAGATGTATTGAAAAATACACTGTTGAGGGAGCAGTGGGAGGGTCAAGAGAGATGAGCCACGTCATGTGGGTCAACTCCAAGCTGGGACTCTTAACTCGTGCTTCCCTGGCTGTGATAACGTCATAGTGCCGTGCTTTAACCCGCTGTGCCCCCAGAGTGGGCCCTATTAACAGGTGTTATAGCTACTCCTACAGATAACCTGATAACCTGCCATGGTCCTGTCAGAACTCTCCTTGCAGGTTAGACAGTGCTCATGTGAGGCCATAGTGTGTGTGCTCAGTCATTCTGGCTGCCTTCTCTAGCCAGATTGTGGGGGTGAAATTCTATAGGGCAGGTAATATTCACTTGGACCTTAACTCTCAGTGGGCTTGGGTTTGTAACAACCTGCCACAGCCTGGACTTCATAAGGTCCACAGGTGCAGGTCAAGACTACACAGTGCACACTAGGCTCAGTGTGAGGGGATGGGAATGGGGGCAGACAGGGTTATCCGTGGAGACAAACCAGGACATACAAAAGACATGGTGGGACATTACAAGCTTTTATTTACTTTTGAAATCATTAAAACAATCAGATCCACACGGGAAATAGCTGAGCCATAAGCAAACCAGGAAATACATAAATGTCCCATCCCTAAGTGGCTGCTGAGTATCCAGCACACGGAGCTGTGACCAGATAAACTTGGAATATTGTCCACTCCAGCCCACCTACAGAGCACTCTGCTCAGGCACCTCCTCCGCCCCTACCCCTGGCCAAAGGACTGAAAGGCCCTAGATACAGCCTGTTGCCAACCAGGGAATGCCTAAGGTCCCCAGATCAATGGAGAGGGCACTTATCCCTACTCTGTTGCCCTACCCACCATTATTGATGCGCTTTATCACACTCCTGACAAAAAGGTGTCCTAATGTCCCTGGTGTGGGCAAACCTGTAGACAGGCTCTGGCTCCAGTAACACTTTTTCTACAAGACCTCTGCAATTTCTCAGTATATGTTTGGGGAAGCTGGAGCTAGAGTGTCAAGCCTGCCCAAAGGAACTACTACTTCAAATCAGGAACATCCGTCTGGCCGAAAGATGCCCTCCCGCTACATGAAAGTCAAACTTGAACCAAGTCAAAAGCCCTTAGCTCCTCCAGTTTCAGCAGGCAGGGCAGGAGTCGACAAAGGTGGAATAAGAGGGCCTGAGGGGGCAAACTGGGCTGCATCCTCAGAGACAAGTCTGCACTGCAGAAAATGCTCTGATAGAGGAAAAGCCCTTGGAAACGTCCAGGCCATTTCATTACAAACTGTTATGTTTTAATCCTTTATTAGAAACCATGCAAACTTTAATACAAAAAATACAAGTGCAATTAATAATCTTCGTGTCAATACAATTCCCGGGATTTCTCATCATTGCAGCCACCCCAAGACCAGGCCTAGCAGGGATATCCCTCTATAGACTGCCTTGTCTTGTGCAGACCTCTCCAGCCAAGCTATAGGGAAGCGGATGGCCTCAGTTTCATGCCTTTATTTTTTTAATTTCCAGACCTGATTCCCCACTATCCACAAGTTCTAGACATCTTAAGCTCTGATAACTGAGGGCACGAATGTCCTGTGCCTGGAGGCTGGGAAAAAATTGATCTCCATGGCCCTTCCCAGCTTTCCTCCAGCCCTGGTCTTGTATATCCCACCAGATCCCAGGGAATGAGACAGAGATACCAAAACCAGCCTCTTGGTTAGAAAGAAAAGCAGCATACACACAAAATAATAAAACCACCAGTTCACACTGACCAGTCCCTAGTGTGAACTACCTGATCACCAGACCACCACCCTTATGCTTCTGCCTGGTTCACATCATCTCTAGGGCCCCGAGCTGCCCACAGCAGGACAGCCCCCAATGCCTGACCTCCCAGCTGGAGGCTTAAGGATCTCCCCTTCTTATTTCCTTTAACACCTACTGCAGACTTTCATTCAGACATGGCTTTGACCTGCAAAACTCCACCAGTTTTCAGGTTATTTTAAAAGGGGTGGGGTGGGGGTAAAACAAGAAAAAAAATGTGATAGCAGCTAGGCAGGTATGGGAAGCAGTGGGGACAGGTAGCACTGACCCCTAACTAACTTGGGACAGGGCAGCAATTGGCACCTGGCCCCACCAGTATGGAGCGCACCTTTGTGGGGCCTAAGGGAAAGAGGCAGTAATATAGTGGACTCCAGGGGATGCGGTCAGCACATGGCCATTACATGTATGTCCACTTCCACTCTTCCCTTCAGGTAGACAGGAGGAGGAAGGGTATGTCAGTTTCTCTTGGGTTTGGTCCAAAAACCCAAGGAGGAGGTTGGAATCCGGTTCCCCTCTCCTGGATCCCAAGTTAGTCTCACCCACCCTGTTCCCCGACCCAGCCTTCCCCTTGGAGCAGTGGTGTAAGGATGGGATGGAGCAAAGCCGAGAGCTGGGCCTAGGGCATGGAGTTAGAAGATAGGGGGTGGGACTGCTGCTGTCCAGGGCAAGCAAGGCAGGAGGGGTCTAGAGGACTGCCTAGCAACTGAGCAGTCACGGTTCTAGTGGGCAGCCCGGGAGAGAGAGCCAAAAGCCCGGGTGCCTGAGCTGACGCCACCAGGGAAGTGGGGAGGGCGGGAGACAATGTCGGCCCCATGGTCGGTGCGAGCCCTGGCGTTTGCCCGGAACGTCAGCCTGTAGGTCTCAATCTGCAGTGACACGGGAGGAGGGGAAGGAAAGGGAAACAAGAGAGACAAGAGGGGGACACAGGGAACGGAAGACGAGACCAGAATGTCATCATTAGATGCCTGGAAAATAAAAGGTTGCTTCGTTAAAATTTAGGCCATATTCTAGTCAAAAAATGAGTTTCACAATTTGCAGCCAGTGGCAGGGCCCCTGGCTGGCCTTCAGGCCAAGCCCAGCCACTTACTTGTCTCCTGGATCTGGGTGTCCAAGGTCTGGGCCTCCCTTTGGTCACCACCCCCTGACAGGGGGGTGTGACCATTGAGGCCACTGGCTGGAGTAGGGGCGCCAGCTTCAGGCGCTGCCTCAGGGATGGCCGGCTCCTCCCCAGCAGGGGGGCCAGGACACGGAGGGGCCTCGCTGCCACCGCCCTCAGTCTACAATGAAACAGTGGGGGAGACAGTGCAGGGTCAGTTGGGGAGGGAGTGGGATGGGTGATGGTGGTAGGTTTTACACACAGCCCCCACCCCGTTGTCCATTTCCCCACTGGATGAAGTTACAGGTGTTGCCCACCCCAAACCCCAACCGTGAGCTTGACTCCTGGTAGGGGCAAGAACACAGGTTCTGGTGTAAGAGAGCACAGTCCAGGATAGGCACATGCTCTTGGAGCTTCCTCTGTGAAATACAAGGTGTCAAAAGTCTCCGAGTTGAAAGGTTCCAGGCTTCTCAACAAGGATGATACCAAATAAAAACAGCAGTTAAGACTGAGGAACAATCTCACGATGGCAGGTCTGGCCCTGGCTGGGAAGCAGGGATGCCACAGTTAAGTTAGGAAGCTCCAGGAGGATGAGGTCAGTCCCCTGCTTCCCAACAAATCCCAGACCACCTTCTGCACGTAATGCATGCTAAGAAACTCACAGCTGTAATGAGGCAGCTCTGCCTAGTTCTCTATCTGTTCATGGACTGCATATATTGACACTTTCCTCTGCCGGACACCATTCTGGGAAATGGAGCCACATGGCGAAAGGTGTCCAAGGAGGGGTGATCTAAGGAGACTTTGAAAATCTGAAGGGCTTCATGAGAGGAGAGCATGTGGGAGAACACTAATATCTAGTACAAGGAAAAACAGAAGAAAGGAAGGCACCAGTGAGCTAGAATGCCCAAAAGGTGATAATGGAAGATTCCACAGGAGTCTTTACTCAGAGGAGTGAAACAATTCTCTGTATAAGACAAATAATTCCAGAAATAAAAAAGGAAGATAACATGAACAAGGAAGAGAACTTAGGACTTGCAGTCAGACAGGCACAGGGGTAAAGCCTGGCTTAGATGCACTTGCCATACAGTATTACACACCAGTTAGCACCCCACAGTGCAGTGGCTCAAAAGGTGTGGAGGGACAAACTGAAAGCCTCTGAGTCAAGGCCACAAATGTTGAAAAAACTGAGGCAGGGCTGAATCAGAACAATGAAGGACAGGACAAAAGGATGGGAGACCAGGGTGGGCCTAGCAGGTGCAAGATCGAAGGGGAGGACAGCAGCTGCTTGGCCCCTTTTCCCCCTCATCCCATTTTCCCTGAGCAACTGCAGCTATCCTTACACCCAGGAGCCTGCAAAGTACTGCTCCACAAACCCCCCCTTCCTAAGACAACATGGAACAAAAAGTAGACAGCACTGTGGCACACAAAGGGTCTCACAGTAATGTAGAAGGAGGGAGGGAGGGAGAGAACAGGAGGAGGAAAGAGAAGAGAGGCTCAGCCAGTCCTAAGGATGGAAGCCCTGCTGCTCATATGCTCTCCAGAGTCTGGGACCAGGGTAGGCCACTGGCAGTACCCCAGACCAGGCCTGCTGTCTCTGGCAGCTGGAAATGTGCTAACCTGTCCCAGGTTAGAATGGACTCTGACATGCAGCCTGACTCACACTTCCCTCTTTCATGAGTAGCTTGTAGGAACTGCACTAGGTGGACCATCTGCCTGTAGTGATCCATGCCCCAGCCAACAGACCTCCGAAACTGACTGAGATAGGCTCAACAAGTAAGGAAGGTGATGGCACTCAGGAGAAGGTTCTGTCTCAAGCTGAAAGGGTGAGAAGTGGCTGGGCTGGAGCCTCTTCATCTGTCCTGCCTCAGATGGACAATGGGAAACAGCAATGGTGTGAGTGAAACATGATTCTTAAACAGACTGAGGAGCGGTGACAGGTGCCCACCTGCTAGGACCCAGACTCCAGCTGCACAAGCCCTCCCCTCCCTAGCTTCCCTCACTGGTGAACCACTAACTACCTTCACGGCACCTCCTGCAGGCAGGTGGCCCACATTATCGAAGGATCCCACCTTTGCCTGGGCCTTCTCCTTGAAATTCAACTTCTGACTTTCAATCTTGACATCTCCTCCACCTGGAAACAAAAAAGAATTTGTCATCCACCAGGATAGCAGAGAAATCCCTGAAGGAAAAGCCAGGTTCCGGGAACAAAAATCCTAGGTTAACCAAGGACTGGCTATGTGTCTAGTACAGAACTAGGGGGAAGGTCACATGACCTGTTCCTAATGGCCAAAGACTAGCAAGGAGGCACACAATGAGCATGTTGTCAAAATTGGGCTACTCCACAAGGTGATTTTTGATTGGGGGGGGGGGGGGGAGGGGAGCTGCTGCAGCCAGCACACATTTCTCTTTCTCTCAAAAAAAAAAAAAACAAAACAAAAAAAACCCTACTCTTACCAAACTTAGCTCTTCAGCCAGCCAGCGGGAATCATTCCATTGACAAGCAAAGCCATCCTTACCACCCTCACTGCCTGCAGCTGCTGACCAGACTCAGACAGGCCCAGATTGCAGAGTGTAGCCCCTGGGCAAAACCTTTAAAGTGCCAAGATGCATCTGATACATGCTCTCTCTGCAATGTGATAACTGACATCCCATAACTAAGCAGGCAGTGCAGTCTACCCCCACCTTCTCCAGTCTCATGAACATTCTGCCCATCAGGTCAGGCCCCTGTTTTACAGATGCCAGCACTGATACTGGATAAAAGTTGACTTGCCTTAAGTAACCACCAAGTGAGTGACTGACAAAACAGGGTGGATATAGTTGGCCCAAGACACTGAAGAGTATCACAGTAGTGAAAAGATGCAAGTTGAGAGTGGCCTCAGGACCATGCATTGAAAGAGTAGTCACAGACAAGAGCAGGAATGGATCAAGCGCCCTCCACTGGTGGAGATAGGAAAGGCAGTCTGCATGCTGGACAAGATTCAGGTCACCAGTCAGTGTGGCCACAGGCTCAGGACAGGGGCATGGGCCATACTTCACTAAATTCTGTAGGTGCCCCCAGCAAAAACTGGACCTCAAGTCACAGGGTGAGTGACTTGAGGTATCTTACAAGAGGAAAATTTTCTAGATAAAATGGCAAAACCAAAGGGTAATTAAGGGCCAAACTCTTTGAACCTTTTATATAGAATATATTCTATATCCTCTCTTACTGAAAGAGGAGGGAATTTTCTTTGCCTTCCCTTAATTGACCCATGGTCACTGTCCTCTGAGACACCAGAGCTGTCAGGCAATGTGCCTGCTGTTGCAGTGATGTTTCCCTACTCTCAAAGCTGCTGTAAACCCGGGCACAAGGGAACACCAGGATTTAAAGGTGAGTGCTGAGGCAAAAGCACTGACTGGGCTCAAACAACATCCCAGCTGCTCAGTTACTCAACTGTGCTGGAAGGAAACTGCATTACTGAAATCCAAGATCCACGTCTGTGGGCCCAGAGTGAATGCCTTTCCATCTTCTGCCAGAGCTGGTGGGTAACACTTCCTATTTGGGAACATTTATGGCTCCCAATTGTGACAGGTGAGTCCTGACCACCACGTCTCTTTCAAGTGCCTTCTGTATTGGTGCTGGGAGTGCTCATCTGGAAGGCTGAACTGGGTTTTCAGCACCAAGCTCACCTCTCTGTAGGCTTAGGTCAACAGTGTCATGACCCAGCAAGTCCTCAAGAGGATGACTTTACGGATGGCAGCCTTTATTCACTATTCCTCCTCTAAGATGTCAGCATTCCAACTCCCACTTCTCACAGGGACTGAGAGCTGTGAGGTTTCTACTGCTGTGTCCTCTTGGGCATGGCTTCAGGAATACTTTATGAAATGATAAGGACACAGCCCAGCTGGTTTATTACCCCAGGCATCTGGGGGCAAAGAAGGTCCACTCACCAGGCTTGTGCTTGATGTTGGCCTTGGAACCACACTTGGAGGAGACCTTAGAGATGTCTACCTTTTTGTTCTGAATCTGAACCTGAGAAGAAAACATGAAAGAAATGTTGCCTCGGAAAGAAAGTTTATATTATCAGGATGACACCATGCTTCCCCATGTCTCCTATTAAGCCCTTTATTTCAACTCAATCAAGGTTAAGGTCAACTACCAAAGTGCTTAAAAGAGCCCCTAATCCACCCACACCCACAGTCTTTCCATCGTGACCCTTCCCACACAGCTTTTTTTCCCCACATCTCGTTGCCCAACATCAAAACTCGAAAGTGTTGTTCCACCTCAAATCTCGCCCATTAACTCCTTGCCCAGAGATAATTTGGAATAATGTTTCTACCTCATCGTTGACAGCACAGCTATATGACAGATATGACTTGGTATTCCTGCTTCATTATTATAAGCATTTCCCCCACCAAAGCTGAAGACTGCAAAGGAAGGCTCACATAATACTTTGTAAGAAGTTACATAAATCTAATCATATTCTTAATATTGAACATTCAGGGGTTCCCCCCTTACTAAATTTTCACTATTATAACCATGGCAGCAATGATTTTCTTTGAGAATAGACATGCTAATTTGCAAGTGAAAAATGCTTCCCTTTAGTCGCTTCGGTTCTTCTTATGGTAGTTAGCCATTTGTATGGCATGCCACCTTATGCTTCCATGGATCAGGTCCCTTGCCATCATTCAGTGGCCACCTTCTAGGACCTTGTCAATAACTTCTTATAATCATCTGCTTGCCTAAGTCACCCTCACTTTTGCTTCTAAGAACTCTGTTCAGGGCCCTCCGTGGTGGCACAGCAGGTTAAAGCTTAAGCCACTTCTGCATGAGTTCGATCCCAGCCCTCCCCGGAGGTGACCACATGGCGTAGCAGACCTCTCCTGACCCGCCCACTGCTACCCTCAGCAGTGTACTTCATCGATCTGCCTGTTCTGCTCCCCTCTGTCTGTTGAAGCCTCTCACCACCCCATACCTCTGACCTGTACCCCAGTTCTGTATGAACAAATAATTCTTAAAAAAAAAAAAAGAACTCTGTTCACATGCTATTCCCTAATGAAGCAAACCACTGCATTTCTCCTCCCATTCTATATATAGTCCAGTTCAAAGGCTGCCTTTCACAAAAACTTCCCAAGCTCTAGCTTCACTCCATCTTCTTTACACCATTACTTAAAGGAACCAACAGCATCAACAGGATACATACTACTTCAGGTGTCTAACACTCATTTGCCACAAACACTCCTCCACTTCATCTTTCCAACAGGCTGTGATTCACCCTCAACAGGAACAACATAGGAAATATACTTTTTGCAGCCAAAGACCTGGAAACTATGTAAGCCAGGACACCACATGCCTGGAATCAATAGAGGTGCCACCTTGCTGTAGAGTTAACAGCGAGATGGCCACTTGTCAAGGCCCAGTTCTCTCCAAGATGTGAAGCCCATATATTTCTTGAAAGTGTGCACACTTGAAGCTTCCACTTTTTTGTCTCTTGCCTAGATCTCAGTTGAAGAATAGTCGATACGGGGAAGTATGGCTTTAAAGATGTATTCCAGCTAATAAATGAAGAAGGGAACCTGGAAGTGGTATGCCCCAGGAAACTCGAAGTGTTATGCCCCAGGAAACTCTAAGTCCTGGGCATCAGTAGCTGTAAACGTCACAAAAAGAGGAACAACCAGAAGAGAAAGACACATGTCTCCAGTCAGAAACACATCCACCACCTATTAAAGTCCTAATAATATGTGGTGAACAAAGTCAAATGTGATTTTGATTATAAGACCAATTAGGGGTTACCAGAAGGGAAGGGAAAAGGTAGATGGGTAAATCTGGACAAAGGAGACAATGATATGGTGAAAGTTGAATTGGACGGTTAGCAGTGAACTTAATGCAGTATACCACATATTGCTTCTCAGTGATGTACACCTGGAATTTACATAATGTTGTAGTACAAAGTTACTTCAATTAAAAAAAAAAAATACCTTGGGCCCTGCCTGGTGGTGCAGTGAGTTAAAGGACAGCATTATGAAGGTAGCTGCAGCCACTGCAGCACCAGTGTGATCCCCAGCCAGGGAGCTGACCCACATAGTGCAGCAGACCTCTCCTGTCCTGCCCGCTGCTCCCCTCAGCAGTTCATTTCAGTACATCTACCTGTTCTGTTCCCCACGCTGTCTCTGGTGAATCCTCTTACCCCCAAAACCTCTGGCCTGTAACCCAGTTCTTGGTCCAGGTTGGCCATATATACTCTGAGTGCAAACGAAATGGTTTCTGTCTTTGCTAAGAGCCACTGGAGGGAAAATAACTAGAAAGGAAGTCCAGTGAGGGGGAGTTGTGTGGAACCAACTCTTGCACTCCTCAAGAGTATGGAGTGTTTTTAGGCCATGGGCAGGATGGCATAACCATCAACGGTGACAGGAGAGACAAGAGACTGAAAATAAAGAGATTGTATAGAGCAGGATTTAGTCTAGCTCAGGATAGTAAGGAAAAAGAAGCCAATAAACTCAGAAGAGACCAAGTCAGGCTGGAACTTGCATTCTGGTGTAGGAGGTGGAAAAGCAGGAGGGGACGAGGCTGCATGTGAATGCTCTACAACACTCCTTGCACATGCTGGGGATTCTTTGTTTTTTAATTTTTACTTAAAAAAAAAAAACTATTTACTTATTCATACAGAACTGGGGTACAAGCCAGAGTTGCAGGGGCGGTGAGAGGATTCACCAGAGATAGAGTGGGAAGCAGAACAGGCAGACTGACAAGTACACTGTTGAGGGGAGCAGCAGGCGGGTCAGTAGAGGTCTGTTGTGCCATGTGGTCACCACCAGGGCCAGGGATTGAACTAGCACGGAAGTGGCTGAGGCCAGCTTGCGGTGCTGCGTCCTAACCTGTGGCGCCACCAGGGAGGGTCAATCTTTACTTTTTTCTTTTTTTTTTTTTAAAGATCTATTTATTTGTACAAACAGAACTGGGGTACAGGCCAGAGCCTCAGGGTTTCGTGAGAGGCTTCACCAGAGACAGAGTGGGGAGCAGAACAGGCAGATCGACGAAGTACACTGCTGAGGGGAGCAGCGGGCGGGTCAGGAGAGGTCTGCCACGCCATGTGGTCACCTCCGGGGCAGGCAGGAATCGAACTCATGTGGAAGTGGCTTTAGCTTCTCAGTGCAGTGCTTTAACCCGCTGCACCACCAGGGAGGGCTAATTTTTACATTTTTAAAGAACAGATTTATTAGTAAAAGGAGAAAGAAAAAGAGCTACTGGAGAGTCATTCTTTACACACTAAATGACAGTGACACTTTGCCTGTTTCTCCCTAGATCAGGAACTGCTGTGAGTCAGTCACTGTGATCCCAACACAGATCCTAGAACTGCCACTGGAGCATGGGAAAAAGTATGTGTGGATAGAAGAGGGAAGTATGTGTGGATAGAAAAGAAAAAAAGGGAAAGTAAATAAAAAGAAGAAAAAATGGGTGAAGAAACAGAAGGGAAGGAGGAAAATGAAAACTAGAGAGAGAAAAGTAGAAGAGGGAAGAAGAGAGGAGAGAAACAAAGATAAAGGGACAAGCAGAGAAGGAAGAAGGGGGAAATTATTAATTCTCTCTTTGTGTAATAGCAAGGATGTGAGGATTGAGGCCACTGCAATGCTATCTGTACCCCGAGCGTAAAGTGTGTATCCCCAGAATCTGACTGAGACAGGCAATAGGCCTGATGCTTACTGCTGCCCTGAGCCCAGGTGTCTGCGCAGTGGGAGGATCTCCCAAGATCTTCCACCCACAGTGGGCACCTTTAGGTATTATAGAGGCTCACCACAAACACTTGACCTATGCACATCTGGGTATCACATTTCCCCTTGTTCTGCTAAACTGCTTCTTGGAGAAAGCCCTGGCCAGGCTGACATGTCCTTGTCAGTGCCAGCAGGTAGCCCTTGCCCCAGTGTGCCCCCAATGGGCTGTGCCTCAGATGCCAGCTGTCCAGAGCTTATACTTACATTACCACCTCCAGGGACATGCTTAATATTGTCCTTGGAACCACACTTGGACTGAATATGGCTGTAGCTCACTTTTTTGGAGACTATCTGGACCTAGAGTGTTAGAGAACAGAAAAAAACAACACAACGGAAGAGGGTTGGTTAGAACCAACACAGTGCAGGCTGTGAGTCTACACATGATCACAGTAACCAACAAAGAGTGTTGTTAAAACTTTCCCCCACTTTCAGCATAACAGCAGAAAAGCACAGGGGAAAGAGTTTGAAGGAGCAGAAAAAGGAGTGAAAACACGAACAAATACCACAGGGACACACACAGATGGTGTAAATGCGCTACATGGTGATCATCTATGGTCCTTGGGGGCTGGGTTGTGGTTTACAGGCCCAGATAGTAACAGGACCTGGAAGACAACCCATGTAGCCCCAACCTTTGCCCTGCCCTGCCTCTTTCCAGGAACTAGATCTCATCATCCTATGGCTTCTGTCTACAAGGATCCTCTCATTAGGACCAGATCTCACCCAAGGATGACTGTTCCTTAAATCTAGGGCAGATCCACTTGGGAAGCTAAGCTTTTCAGGAAAGAACTGAGCAGTTGGCTGAAGGAGCACACGTGGTATTAACAGAAAGAAAGGGAGATTGATTAGTTATACATGCAAGTGACCAGAGGCTGCTGGACCTGCCATGCAGAATCTTGGAAACCAGTGAAAGTGCAGGCAACAGTTTCTAAAAACATCCTCTTGTCCCAAGCAGCTCCCACACATCCACACATAGCCCAGATCTTGAGAAAGTATAGTATATTTGAAATATAGGCCCACAGTAAAACACCTTCTTCAGCCCTCCAGAGGCCCAAACCTATGCCCTGGTAAGTTTCATGTTCAAGGAGAATAGCCTTTAGCCAGAGGTGCAATGATGCACAATCTGGAAGCCACCAGCACCTTGGTACTATATGCAAAAGGCTCCCTTGGAATGGGGTCACACCAAGGCACAAGAATTCTTTTGGGGCCATCTTAAGAAGAAGTAGCTGCCAGCTTCATTCCTTCCTTAACTTCAGTGACCCTCACAAAGGATGCAGTACTCAAAATGGAGGTTTTCCACAGAGCAGAGCACTCTACCCTGAGAAATACCAACCCATATATCACCATTTTGTGCCTTCTTTATGACTTCACTGATCAATAACCAGTTAGCAAAACACTTTCTAATGAATCCTGGTCTGAACAGACACCTAATGGAGTCATCCAGAAGCCATAGCACAGTCTTCATCTGCCATTATACAATATTATCTTTGGGTTGACACCTACTCCCCTGCCTCTCTGGCAGCCCTTAGCCACAGAGGTCACATACCTGCCACAGCTAAGGGACAAAGGTTCCCACTGCAAGAAGAAGGGGTATTACTCCAGGGTGTGGAGGAAAAAGAAAAGAACCTAGGATTTCAGCTTACCTTCTGTCCTCCAGTTGACACTGCAACTTTTAGGCTGAGTGGGTTTCTGCTGGTAATGAGCACCCTAGCTTTCAGTTAAGAGGTGCTTGGGTAACAGGATAAATGAAGCTATCTCCATGCCAAACAGTGATAGAAGAAAGAAGGTCTTCTAGTTCACTGCAAAGCACAGAGGCTGGAAGACTGCCAGTGCTGTGATTACTGGGCAAGAGTCAGATTCTGAGTGTGTTTGTGTTCCTGGGTTCCAGACCAAGGTCTGTGTGAAGGAAGTTACTAAAATCTTTTATATCCTTTTTACCCAGCTGAGTTAATATTCACAAAAGGACCACTGGGTTCCCAAGTCAATTAACTTCCAGAGTTAATGTAAAAAAGTTTCTAATGGCTGAGTCATCAAACACAGAGGAAGGAACATGGGAGAAAAGTAGAAACTAGTTAAGAAAGGAAAAAAGCACAATAGAAGGGAACGTGACTCAGGCTGGAAGAAATAGTTTACCATCTTTTACCTCCAAGAGGTAAAATTCTAAATAAAACTCACTTTCCCAGCAGGCGGTTTCTGCACACTCACAACTGGGCCGGCTGATTTAGTGACAGCATTAGGTTCAGGCTTTCGCGCTGTGGCAGCTGCCTCTGTTTTTTTCTCTATTTTGGCCTGGATGGAGATAAAGGGAGGGCAAATTTCAAACAAAGAGAGGATAAGAACCCAAATGCCAAGAGTCCAGGCCAGGCTATCAGACAGAAGCAGGTCACCCTTGCATCTAGGAAAAAAAACACCTATTCCCAGGGGCTGAAGGGGAGGGAGGGCAAGGAAGAGGAAGAGGCACTGCAGACTAAAGTCTTGAGATGTGAAAAGAGATCAAGACACCATTTGCAGAGAAGATCTGGCTAATCCAGCTAAGACTGATTTGACTAAGAAGACCAAGTTAGTGATTCTATTCTGAGTGTGTGTTGGGTTATCAATTTCAAATCATATGTTCTTCCACTCAAATGTTCTGGTGCCCCAAGCAGACAGCCATGGTCACAGGGAGTCACTACTGATGATGGGATGTGTCAAACAGCTTCAGGCATGTTGGAACAAAAAACCACCGATATCACCAGATACCCACCAAGACCTCCTGCAACTTTTGTACCTTGACAGTGTAAGTGGAGCACAGAAAGGGGAGTTGGGCTATCAGCATCATAGTCCCACTGGCCTAGCAGGGGAGGGTAAAGCCACAGCCTCCTACTAAGAGCAACTTTTAGGCCCTCACCCCAGACTAACCCTAGTTTGTTATCAGTATTATCCAAAAGCAACAAAATTCTGTCTCATTTTTGTGCCCTCTTCAATTGGTTAACAGCTCTGGATTGAGGTAAAGTAATCCTTCTCTGAGCACAGGTGGGGTGGCTTAAATGATAGAGAATGACACTGAAGATGAACATTCTCAAATGAACTGTTGCCACTATTTTTCCACACACTAAGCACCCTGGTTATTTATGGTTAACAAGTAAATCCAGATGAGCGCAACCAGAAAATCCTTAAAAGTGAAGCATAGTCTGCCATCATGCCTTTCTCCATCTTGATACTCTACTGCAGTCCCTTTTATAGGAAAGGCAGAGGCTCGCAGCAAGTCATCCTGGCCACAAGAGGACACCCTAGTCCTCTTCTTTCAGAGACTCCCCAGCCAAGTAATGGCTTGAGGAACAAAGAGATGTTCTGCTTTCTGATGGTCATGATGCTCACTGCACAATGCAGGCTATTAAAGAACCATGAAAAACCAGGAATTTAACTGAGACACAAAGAGAAAACCCAGAGCTTATTCCTTCTGTAGTGCTGGGCTGTGGAGCCCAGGCTGAAATCCCCTAACTCTAATCTGAAGCCCTCCCTCTCTGATGGACCCCCCTAGAGGACCAAGACGTGCCTAGGCACAGTGAGTAGATGTGGCAGGGGAAAAAGCAGGGGATAGCATGCTAAAAACCCCAAGTTCCCTGGACCCACCCGGCCTCCTCCAGGTTGATGCTTGATGTTTTCTGTGGAGCCAACTTTGGAGCGGACATTCTTTAGATCAGGGGCAGAAGTATTGGTTGTCAGGCGGCTCAGCCTGGGGGCAGAGGAACTGGACTTGGCTGTTGTGGGCTTCTTTTCTACAGAAGGCGTCACAGAAGATCGGGGAGGTGTAGGTGTGGACTTGACTCGACTGGGAGTCACCCCTGCTGGGGATGCTGCCCCAGGGGCAGTGGTGTTTTTCTTCACAGCAATGGTAGAGGTGCTCCTTGAGCGACTCAAGTCAGCTGCAAAGACAGGAATGAGAGATTACAAGAGTTCAGAGGAAAGAGCAAAAGGGAGTTGCAAAGTCATGGAAGTCGTTTAAATTGGGGTTCTACACAGTGAGGGGTGAGTTATTACCTGGTACAGACTTTGTAGCCATCTTCTTGATGTCTGCAGGTTTTCCCTCAGTCTTGACAGCTGCACAAACATATACTTCTTAACATTATGTCTAACAAGCTGCCTGGGAGTGGCTCATCCAACACTGAGATTTGGGCATTCATTCAACAATTACCAACTGTCCCCTGTGAGCAAGGGATCATGCTAGTGTCTGGCAACAAGGTGGTTAATTGGACAGCCATGTAAAGATCACGTCCTTATGTGATGCACAAAGCCAGGCACTATGTTTCACTCTTTTCTACAGTCTTGAAATGCATCCACATGACCTTGGGAGCAAGTAATCAATACATGCCCCCAGAATCAAATAGGTCATTTCTTGTGTTCTAAGCCTATGACCACAAAGTAGTAGGTGCTGTAGGGTCATTAAAAAAAGAACAGTAAATTATACATGGGAGTTCATGAGAAAGAATCCCTTTCACTCAAGATTCTTTTGAATACACATTATATAACCTCACATGAGGATCAAATTTGCGGATTTTACCCTGTGCATAAGCAAGCCTACACCTTGGGCAAACCCAAGGTTCTACTCTCCTCTTCTTCCCATAGGGGAAAACATGGCAATACTCACCAGTGGGCCTCTTGGACAGGGCTATGGGTGGGCTCCGGCTGCTTGGCCCAGTTGAGGTAAGAGTGGCAGACGCTGTGACTTTTGGACCAGTCTGGGTGCTCTTGGTGCCAGGTCTGAAGGCCGGGGCAGAGGCTGGCTTGGATGGTGAGACCCGTTTGTCAGGTATCTTTGCCTCTGTGACAGGCTGATAAGAAGAAAGCAGGAGTAAAAGCTTCAGCTCAGCACTAACCCCAGAAAATCACATCAAAGGATGGTTGCACACAAGCATATATAACACATAACATAGGTACTGAGAGCGCAATAACTGACAGGAAAAAGTATCTACAGCTCTAAGACCAAAGTCCTCCAGATAATGAGAAATTAGCAACGCAGGCTGCTGTATGATCTTGGTAAGGAAACAGGGACTGTCAAACTATATCAATCCCAGTGAGAATCAATAGCTCTAAAAAGTACATATCATATCATAAATGCTGTCTGCCTCAGGACTTACTGTATTAAATACTGCTGTAATTGAAGAATTAATTAACTCAACTAAGGGTTAAATATATAAAAACATCAAAAATTACGTTCAGTTAAATTCAGTCATTCTTTTGGCTAAGATGTACCCAATGAATACTGAATACAACAGGGATACAGATGAAGACAGCACTGGCAGAATGTCAGGTCAGAAAGGAGTTCCTGCCCCAGTCCCATCCCTAACTCAATGTTATGTTTTTGGACAAATCACTGAACCTCTCTGAGCCTTAATTCCTCACTGAACAATAAAGGAGGTTGGAACAGAAGATCTCTTAAGATCCAGCTTTTATAATATCTGATGTCAGGAAATAGAGCATGAGAAGTCTCTGTGAGCAGAAGCAGCCAGCAGTGGATACAGGCTGACCAATAGAACGACTGCGACACACAATGTCACCATTGTGACTGGGGAAAAAAAGGGAAAATCTCTACGACACGGAATGTGAGTCATGGCAGTTCCTCTCCCATGGAGGATGGGCATGTCACTGTCAAGGGAGGGAGGGAAATCAATTTAGCTTGGTTTCTACAGGAATATGGCATTTACATACTATTTTATTTTCTTTTTTTAGATTTATTTATTTATTCATACAGAACTGGGGTACAGGTCAGAGATACGGAGGGTGAGAGGATTCACCAGGGACGGAGTGGGAAACAGAACAGGCAGATCGACGAAGTACACTGCTGAGGGGAGCAGCAGGTAGGTCAGGAAAGGTCTGCCGTGCCATGTGGTCACCTCCGGGGCAGGCGGGGATTGAACTCATGCGGAAGTGGCTTAAGTGCAGTGCTTTAACCCGCTGCGCCACCAGGGAGGGCCTACATACTATTTTAATAGCAAATAACATGTTGCTCATGAAGGTAAGCCAAACCAAGACACAGAAGATCCAGCCCTTTTTCTACCAGAAAAATAGCCAATCAGCTAAGGAGGTCCTCAAAAATTTAGAGCTGGCATCCAATTAAATATAACCCTGCAAGCACAGGTTAACAACCATTCTACAAATGAAGGCCCTAAGAGTGAGTGTGACGCACCCGAAGGTTGGAATTAAAGGAATTGATTTAGTTACCAGCTGGAACTCAGAGGATTCTGTGCAGAGGAATTCCCTCCCTGTTTGCTTTAAAACGTGAGGGCTATAGCAGGTAATCTTTGAGTTTCCTTCAAATTTTCAATATTATGTCTATGACAATAGTCCAGTGAGTTACGTTATCTTCTTACTTTGCTAGTAAGAGTAATAATGATAAAATAAGTTAGAAAAAGTTAATTGGGATGGAATTTCTAAAGGATGTGACTTTAGGGGTCAGGCTCTTGACTTCAACAAGCTACAGAATCAGCCTTCTCTTATAACGGAGCTACTTTTCTTATTTCTCAATTTATATTGTTTCTCTGCCAGAATCACAGAATCACAGATCTATCTTTTTTTTTTTTTTCTGGACGGGTTTTCCTTTGTTTGGTATTTTAAGTTTTTCTACCAAAATAAGAATAAAACACTTTTCTTTAAACTTTAACAACAGTAGTAATTAAAATGCAAGTCTAACAACAGTAATCATTAAAATGCAAGTCCTCTTTAGGTCAGGCATATCTTGAAATACTGTGTAGAAGCTGCATGGCCAAAAGCTATGAAAGAACAATGTTGAGAGGCCCCAAGTACCAGCATTGGTGAGACCCATCTTCAAAAGTTGGCACTGCTAGTAGCAGTCCTTTTGCCCATCTGTGCCTATGCAGGTGCTTCTTCTCACCAACTCTCCCTCTATTGGGTAGCAGCCTTCTTGTCACCATGACCTGTACCCTGCCAGGGCTTCTCTGCAGAGGCAGCTCTCCTCAATGCCTCCTGCCTGCGACTATGCAGGACTCTCTGTCCCTTTTGGGATAGCTCTTTCTGCCTGTGTATGTCTATGTAAGTGTCCTTTATTCTTCTGTCCCTTTCTCTAATGAACCTGCTCTTTAGTTATTTAAAAAAAAAAAAAAATCATTGGCACTGCTGCTATATATTAGGAAGTAGTAATTCTTCATAAGCACTACTACTTAAGAAGGTTATTAAAATGAGTTTACCTTCTCTCATAAAATGAGGATGCTAGTGTCTATGTAATGGCTTGTTGAGAGAGAGTGAAAGGAGTTAATATTCAAAGAAACCAGAAGAATTCATTATTATTAAAGAGTGAAAGTTCATTAGACCAACCCATTCCCCTTCTATGTCCTCCTTTGTACTCCCCAGGATTTGCTGTTAAGAAAGTGTCATTTTGGGCCCTCCATGGTGGCGCAGCGGGTTAAAGCACTGCACTAGGAAGTTTAAGCCACTTCCGCATGAGTTCGATCCCCGCCTGCCCAGGAGGAGATCCACATGGCGAGGCAGACCTCTCCTGACCTGCCCGATGCTCCCCTCATCATTGTACTTCGTCAATCTACCTGTTCTGCTCCCCACTCTGTTCCTGGTGAATCCTCTCACCCTCCGCATCTCTGGCCTGTACCCCAGTTCTGTATAAATGAATAAATAAATCTTTAAAAAAAAAAAAGGTATCATTATGCGCCATGCCTCTAGTCACCCTGTTCAATAAATTGTATTATAAAGATAATGAAAAGCAGCAACTGGGGAAATGAGGTTCATAAAGCTTTATGACATTTTATCTTTGGCAGGATTGCTCACCCTCTTGGTGAGGGTTTCAACCTAAATTGTAAGTCTCAATTTCCTTTACAAGATTAAACTAAAACACTAGGATTTTAATAAGGGAAAGAAATTATTTCCCACTGTGAACTTAAAGAATAGTATCAGGTTGCCCTTAAGGTCCTTCTCAAATAAAGCAAGAGATTATGGAAAATAGGAACAGAGTCCATGCTCTCCTCTTAGGACAATTCTGTAAAGCTAATGCTGACCCAAACTGACACTTTCTAGGCAATAATGTGTGGATGACCTGGAAAATAAAAAATTTCAAAAGGGAGCCCAGTGAGATGTGGCCTAATGCCAAAAGCAAAGTAAGCTATCATGTGATGCTGAAATGAGCTAAGAGTTGATCATAAAGGTCCTATCTAAAAGTAAGAAGTTTATTTCTAGAGTGATTAAAGACAAAGAACTGGATTTAATTAGAAATTTGAAATAAAAATTACATTAAAAATGAGTGTGTTGGGCCCTCCCTGTTGGCACAATGGGTTAGGATGCAGCACTGTAGACTGGCCACAGCCGCTTCAGTGCGAGTTCGATCCCCGCCCCAGAGGTGACCCACATGGCCCAGCAGACCTCTCCTGACCCACCCACTGCTCCCCTCAGCAGTGTACTTCATTAATCTGCCTGATATGCTCCCCATTCTGTCTCTCGTGAATCCTCTCGCCACCCCAGCACCTCTGGCCTGTACCCCAGTTCTGTTTACACAAATAAATATATCTTTTAAAAAAAATAATGAGTGTGTCATTAGTATGTGAAGGAGGGGAAACTGGTTAGCATGTGTTAACCAGTGAAGAGTAAGGAAAGGAGGAGGAACTAGATGTAACATTGCATTCAACATTTTGTACAGAAAAGTATAAAAGGCCTTTAAATATGGCTGCATCAATGGGTAGCCAAACTGATTTTCAAATCAATATTCCCCTTTTTCCTCTCCTCTGAATTCTAACAGCCTGATCCCACCGTCTAATAGCAACAAGAAAACTGTCTACTCATACTCATAGGGCAAAACTCTTTCTGACAGTGCTTGGATGACTACTTACCTTGGGTTTCACGTCTTTTGAAGGTAAGATGGAAGACCTGGTAGTGGCTGCAGCAGAGCGTTTGGGTGGGGCAGCTGGTACTAAGCCTGAAGCAAGGCTCATGGGTTTTTTATTCGACCCACCAAAAGTGGTGGGAGCTGGCTGCTTAGGGAGAGAAGTGGACTGTGTTTTGGCTTTCGATGTTGAAGTCTTTGCAGGCTGAGTGATGGCCAAAGGCTTTAAGTTGATTTGTTGTGTTTTTTGGTTTTTTTTTAAGGTCAACATCAAACACACAGACAAGAATAAAAACAAATGAAAAAAAAAAGTATAAATTGCACAATTCAAAGTAAAATCATAAGCAATGAGGGTAGATGCAAATAAAAGTTAGCATTCCTTTCTTCTGAGCTCAGTATGTGAACAGGATACAAGGTTTAGAGATAAAGAAAATTGAGAATTATTTCTTAAAAACAATATTGTAAATTTTAGTAGTTCAATACCTGAAGACTTAAAGTTGGTAATATTTTAAACAACTAACTACTAGACTCTGCAATTTTCCATGAAAGACATCACCCAACAATTAAGTTATTTAGGACATGTATCTCCTGGCAACGTCAGCGTCCTATTTTATTTTCTGTTTTAAAGATTTTTTTAAATTTATTTATGCATACAAGAGCTGAGGTACAGGCCAGAGGTGTGGGGTTTGGTGAGAGGATTCACCAGAGACAGATATAATGAATTACACTGCTAAGGGGGAGATGCAGGCAAAACAGGAGAGGTCTGCTGCATCATGTGGATCCTTGGTCAGGGATTGAATTCATGCTGCAGTGGCTGGCAATAGATTGACAGTGCTGAGATTTATCCCCTGCACCACCAGAGAGGCCCAGCATCCTGTTTTAAACATAATGAAGTAACACTGGAACTCTGCAATAAGTGCCAACACAAAGTTCCTGAAGCCATGGTCTATCTTAAAAATCTGTGTTCCCCAGCTATATACCAGAGACATTTTATGGGGCTGGAGTGGGAAATGGGATCAAAAACAGTGGAGGGAGGGAAATGCACTGGACTATGGTCATGGCACATGGGTGATTTGGTGACAGGAAGCCCACGGGGATTACAAATGAGATGGGAAAATGCACAAAATGATGAAAAAATAAACTATTAGATTATTAAAAAAAATCTGTGTTCCCTTTTCATGAACACAGGTGCCAGAGTCTTTTTCAGAACATTATTCATTTTGTTATTCCTGTATGGAAAACAGAAACAACTTCTACAGAAACACAATAGGGATAAATGTAGAGATTTTAAGGTTTGAGTTAAACTACTCTGGTAAATGGAAGTATAAAATATTTCCTAAGCATATCCAAGCTCATAACAGTTCAGAAGAAAGAAATTTCGATGTATGCAAAGATACTGTTTCAAAGCAAACAACTATAGCTGTAGAAACTAACCCACCATTCTGGCACCTACCTTTGTTTTCTTTTCTGGGCTTGGTGGGAGCTCCTTGTTTGGAGGGGTGGTGATGTCATTTCCGGTCACACTCAGAGCAGGTCGTCCTTCTTCTGGCTTGGCTATTCCTAAGTGGGAGGATATTATCCTACATAAATGTTTTTCACACCCATTTTGAAAATTTAAGCCTTAGCAGAAACAGACCACTAACTAGCACTTCATTCTAAAATCAAACCACAGAACTCTGCTGCTGAATTGTGGAGAAGACTCCCAAGTTCCCCTCACTGTGAGAGAGCAGTTTTAAGATTCCAGAGACTTGATAGCAGCTGTCCCTGTGGAGAAGCAATCTAAGCTAAGTGGGATTTGCACAAATAATCAATGGAAGGAAATAGCTCTTCAAGCTTGGTTTTTCTTCCCTGGAGACCAGCACAGACCAGTGTCATCCAACCACTACCTCTTGCAGCATGCAGGCAGCAACAAAAACCTTTTCTACTAGAGTTTATCTCTTGGAATAAAAGTTGCTGAGAGATGGGTTAAGAGCCAAAAGATCATCCAATGTCCTTCCCTTACTTCCTTTCCCTGTAAAGTATTACTTTATGGAGGATGTGAGATTAACTTGATCTAGGTCCCAGCAGTGACCCAGATTTCTAGCAGGGCAGAGGAGACCCATGAAATCAGACCCAGGTCCAGAAATAATGTCTGTTGCCTAAGGCTACACCTAGCAGTACCACTGTAGGAAGGTTACTCCTAATTTCAACAGGGATATACCTGAAAGAGTTAAAACACTGAGAAATGTATAATCTGGTTTTGAGAAGGCATTCTATCTGGCATAAAACCAAAAAGGTAAGCTTGATTAAAAGAAAATTAAAAACTTTAACATGGTCAGATGAAAAAGAACCCAAAGATAAATAACAGCATAAAACAACCTGAACCTCACACCAAAGGTAAAGAACTTATATAAATTACTCATACACAGCTATAACTCCTACAAAGACCAACAACTCACTAAAAAAAAAACAAGCAAAAGAATATGGACACAGCTTACAGGTAAAGAAACAAAAATCACTTCAACATGAGGAAACATACCACAAAGTAATGCATGTAATGGTACAACCCATATGCAAGGCAGTCAGGTGGTGTCTCTGAAAATTACACATGCAGATAAATTATAATCCAGAAATAGAACTTCTGGAAATTTAAAAGATGTACTTGCACAACTATAAAATAACAAATGTACAAGATCTCGCATCAAAACATTGTTTCTAAAAGCAAAGAACTTAAAACAAGTCAGAAGTCTGTGAACAGGAAATTGGTTAAAGCATTATGGCAGAAATAGCAATGTAATATCTGAATCTGACACAGTAAAAAGAAGCATGAAAAAAATTTATTATGTTTGAAATGGAAACATCTTTAGAAAGAGTATGCAAAATGTGAAACCACTGGCCCAGAAAAGGGATTAAAGGTTGGTGGAGATGGAGGATATATTTCCAATATAAATATACTGTACATGCATTTAAAAGCACAACAACAAAAACTTTGGGAGAATCATGATAAAATAAATCAATGGTAATTTAATTGGAGAGGGAGAGAATGTAAAGCAAAGGAGGGTAGGAGGCTTTACTTCAAGTTTTTTGTTTTGAAATAATTATAGATTTAAAGGAAGTTGCAAAGAAATGGACAAGAAGGTAGATCATGTGTACCCTCCAGCCAGCCTCCCTCTGTGCTAATATCCTGCATAACTATAGAGCTCCATCAAAACCAGAAACTGATACTGGTACTATCCACAGAGCTTATTCAGGTACTTCCACTCTACATTCACTCAATTATTTGCATGCACACATGCACATATATGTACTTTCTATGCAATTTTACCACATTTGCAATTTTATGTGACCACTCCTAACAATCAAGACACATAACTGTCCCACCATCACAGGGGTCCCTCATGTTTCCTTTCTATAGATCACCATTTTCAATCCCTAAATCTCTGGCAAACCAGAGATAGGATTTGCAGGAGATAGTTCTTTTCTTTTAGAAATTTTAAAATGTGCCACTGTTGTCTTCCTTCCATGGTTTCTGACAAGAAACAGAATGTCATTTGAATTGCTATTCTCCGGTAACTAATGCATCGCACTTTCTAGTTGTAATTTTTTTCTTTGCTTTTAGCTTAGTTTGATTATATGTCTTAGTGTGGAGTTTTCCTACTTGAGGTTCATTCAGTTTCTTGAATCTGTAGATTTATGTCTTTTGACAAAATTGGGAAGTGATCAGTCATTTATTTAATTGAGTAACTGCTCAGCCTCACATTCTTCCTCAGCTCCTGGGATATGAATCATTCAAATATTAGATCTTCTGTTATTTTCTACAGGATTCTGAGAATATGTATATTTTTTAGTCTGTTTTCTCTCTATTGTTCATATTGTATAAATTTTATTAGTCTGTCCTCAAATTCATCAATCCTAGTCTCTGCTATCTCTAATTTACTAGTGAGTCCACCAGTGAATTTTCACTGTTATAACCTTCCTATCTATAAATTCTACTTGGTACTTTTTGTAATTTCTATTTCTTTGCTGAGATCTGGGGTTTGCTTCAAGAGAACTCATGTTGCTTGTTGAAGCAATTTTATGATGACTGCTTTAAAAATCCTAATTTTATGGGACCTCCCTGGTGCCACAGGGGGTTAGAACGCAGCACTGCAAAGCTAGCTTTGGTCGCCTCGGTGCGAGTTCAACCCCCAGCCCTGGAGGTGACCCACATGGTGCGGCAAACCTCTCCTGACCCACCTGCTGTTTCCCTCAGCAGTGTACTTCACTGATCTGCCTATTCTGCTCCCCACTCTGTCTCTGGTGAATTCTCTCATGACCCCTGCACATCTGGCCTGTACTGCAGTTCAGTATCATAAACAATATATATTTTTTTTAATTCTACTTTTATGGTTTAGCAGGTAAGCCCTATTTACATTTAACATGCAGATTCTGGCTAGTTTCTCAGGCCCTTGCACTACGTTTCCGCTATGCTCTAGCTTCATGAGGCTCTCAATCCCTGCTAAATACTGCCTGCAAGGATGAAGCATTGCCCTGGCCCAGATGGTTTCACTATATGAGAGGTGAGTGATGCTGGACCCATGGGATATAGTTTCTCCTCGTCTGTTCTCTTGCTGCCCCTTGCTAGTTGACTTCCTAGCTGAACGTCTGCTGCTTGAAAGGAGGCCACTGGAGGAAATGGACCTATGTCTCCTGCTACTGAATAGAAGGCTGGCAAACACCAGGCTTATAAATGCTGCTGATGTAGTCATCTGTGGGGGACAAAGAATGGCTCATTTTCGCCAGTGTAGAGAGCTCATGCCTACAACTGTGACAGGGAGTGGACAACAGGTAAGTGCTCATGAGCTCTGCTGACAATCTGCAGGAGGATTTGTGACCACTGCTGTTGCAGGGCTTCCACTAGTTTTACTGGATTTCTCTTTTCCTATCTGGACTTTAGGCAAGAGCAAGCAGATCTTGTTTTCCCCTTTTTTTTGGGGGGGGGGGAGGGTGATTAGTGATTCCACATTGTAGGCACTCTAGTATCCCAGCAGGATGTATGGCAAATAAAATGGAAGCCTAGAGAAATCACTGCACCACCCTTAAGTCCCAAGGTTCCCACCCAGCCCATCCTCTACATTCTACCTTTCAGATTCCATTTATGATTTTCTAATACATCTTTCTAGAGCATTTAACTGTATTATAGGATAGGTATAGGAAAAACTGACTCAATGTCATCTTGTCTTGGTAAGAGATTTTCCAATGTGAAGCATTTTGTATTACTTGATGTTTGAAATCATGTGTATGCCTATTCAAAAACTGAAATTTGAAAATTTTTAAAATGTGGAGAAACAAAAAAGACCTAACCACACAAGATCAGTAATACTTATGTTCCACAGCAAATGAAAAATATCAAAAGTGTGATTTCTTGTCACAAGTAGGAGATCACAATGAATATTTTTCAAAGGACATAAAATTTTTTAGTAAATAACATGAATGGTCTATGAAGACTCAATTCCTATGATATAAATTAAACGCATATCTCCACCTATACAAGTAATATCACATAATAAAAACACCTCACTTACGCAGAAGCAGAAACTACTCTCCTTCCCAGATAATGCTTTTTACCATGATCATTCCCCTTTTCCTCAAGGGTATGTATCAGCCAATTGCTAAAGACCACCACACAAATGACCCCATGATTTCTTCTCAATGTTCAAAACAAAACTTAACTGCTCAACAAACCTGCTCTCATCTGTTGGATTTTTCTCTTTTTGGTACTACTGCCTTTGAGAAACACAAGCTTAAAGTAAAGCACCACCTTTCTCTGCTTCTCTCAGATGCCACATTCAGTGTTTAGGTCCAGCTGATTTCACCTGTCATACTTCCCCTACTAAATCCTTAAAATTTCACCTGCTACTTCATGAATAAAATGTTTTTTTAACATCATTCCTCTGTTTTTAAGTTAATTTTATCTATTGAGAACAGGTGAGTCTCCCCAAAGCAGATCTTGGATCACTTTGACTTAGGCAATGTTTTAAAACATGGGAGTAATGTTTAAATGTCTGAGGGGTCATTTGAAGCATGGGTACTAAACAACTTTCTGTATTTTTTTTCACTCATAATTTCCTGCCAATATGTCAAACAGGAGGTTTTGGCATATTTGCTCAACCAACACCCTTATCTAGAGAGGCCTCCAGATGAATGAAGTGGCATATCTAAATGACTATGACTCACGACTCGTAAAGGCTGCAGGACATGGCAAGCAGTTGACTAGACCAAACTGTGCCAGTAAGACATATTTGAAAGGAAGAAAACAGGAAACATGCAGGCAAGCAACTTGAGTCTCTAACATATATATGAGGACATAAAGTGAGGCACAGAACCCAAATCAAGGAAACTGTCTTTTACAGACCAGTCACAAAGAAGTTAAGAGAGATGGCAGGGAAAAAAAGGAAGTTTCTGAAAGGGAAGAGAATGGAACACACATCTGGGGAGAAACAGAGCTTCTGAGAGATGCAGATGGGCAGCAGCTAGGCTGAATGCAACTGGAATTGCATTCCTGAAATGCAACTGGATTCCCTGAGATCCTTCTATAGCCT